GTACACAGTGGCACACACCTACATATATAAGGAGAGGTGTAGTGTAGGAGATATAACGTAATGTCTAACCCCAACACTTTAATCTTTGAAATTAAATTTTATTTTTTATTACCAGTAAAGTTAATCCCTAACCGTTAATTTTAAAGAGGAACTTTTACTTCTCTTAACCCCTTAAGAACCAAACTTCTGGAATAAAAGGGAATTATGGCATGTCACACATGTCATGTGTCCTTTAGGGGTTAAAGTGGCGAGTCCTCTTTATTTCGTCCTAGTAAACACTATTGGAGGTTTTACTTGGTTGAGCAATGCAGGGGAGATAAGTAAAAAAAATACACTTACCCAGTCTGTATTCAGGGTGAAGTCATTGCGAAGTCATTGCGCACATACATTATTGTGGGGGTTAAATGAATTTGCATGGCATGCCCTGGCAATGCCAGGAAGTCAGGCACACAATGTATATTAATATATAAAAACTGTTCAGGAAAAAAAAAGCTTTTAGTTAGCTATTGAGTGGTGTCAAAAAACTGATTTGACAGTTTGGATTTAAACGTGGGTGTCTCTAACATTAAAGAAACATTATAGTCACCTAAATTACTTTAGCTAAATAAAGCAGTTTTAGTGTATAGATCATTCCCCTGCAATTTCACTGCTCAATTCACTGTCATTTAGGAGTTAAATCACTTTGTTTCTGTTTATGCAGCCCTAGCCACACCTCCCCAGGGGCATGTTCTATACACCAAAACTGCTTCATTGAGCTAAAGTTGTTCAGGTGACTATGGTGTCCCTTTAACACTATCCAAACTTACCTCTCTGTTGCATCTTTTGGCCATCTCTGCCTTAAAGAAACACTCCAGACACATAATGTAATTCAGGCTCTATGTGTTAAAGAGTGTGAACTCATATTCATTTTATAGAAGTGCAGGTTTCAATATTTATCAGCATATAACAAGTCAAGATGTCATATACCCCATAGAAAACTGAGCCTGCACCCTGACTTATTAAATGCACACCACATGCTCCCACTCTGGACCACCAGGGAGTTTTAACCCATGCTGTACCACCACATATATTAACACCTGCTGTACCACCACTTACATTAACCTACACTGTACCACCACATATATTAACCTACGCTGTACCACTACGTACATTAACCTCTGCTAGATCACCAGGTACTTTAAAGAATGCTAGATCACATGGGGGATTAACCTCTGCTAGACCACCAGGGATCATAGTCCCCCTCCTTATAGGAAGCTATGTAGGGGGAGGCAAAATGTAACACAGACAAATTACATGCAGATTGCAAGCATGACACACACATTACACACAGCCAGCAGACACTACACACATTACACACAGCCAGTAAACATCTCACATATTACACACAGCCAACACACACCACACATTACACACAGCTGGCACACACCACATACATATTGCACACAGTCGGAGGACCCAACACACAGCTTGCACACACACACAAACAGAGCCAGCATGTTCACACACAGACTCACAACACACAGTCAACACACACTTATTTAGGGTAGAGGGTTATTCACCCAAGTCTGAATGTTCACAAATGAAAGCTGAATGGAAAACCTGAGACAATATGTTGTTTGCTTGGCACTTTATACATTAACCTGATTACACCCCCTCTGGCTGTCAGTCACACAACTGGTCCTGTTACTTCCTGGTTTGCTAGTTTGGTTAGCTCAGTGGAGCTAAACTCTAGAGGAAACCAATTGCTCAGAGCACCTGCAGACAACATACCTGCAGGTTTTGCAAGATATTTTTATATATACCCACAATGAAAAAATACATAATTAAATGCATGCATGTTTACATTGGAGTTATATCTACTAAACAGTGTTTTTTATTTTATTTTGTATTTGGGCAGTGGAGTATCCCTTTCAGCTAGTCTGCCAGCTGGCAATATGGAAAAACCAATATGGCCACAATGTCGACATCTCAGACATCCTGTAAATCCTGCACCCAGAGTTGGACCCCTGGACCCTGCACCTAAAGTCATGTAATATCTTTGTGGGTATACTGTAAAAGCAATTTACACATGAAAACTATTCATTTCAGATAACAAAGTTTAAAAAAAAAAAAAGAGTGAAGGGGTTAAAAGACTCTGAGGATCAGCACTTTGCAACGACATAAAATAGACATTAGAGGCCGCTATAGGCCTTTAAATAGATAGTAATTTGAAATGTTGCAATTATGATACTAGTGAATTCCATGCCACTACAAATGATTAATACAGCAATACTATTCAATTTTATCCAGTTAAGTTACTGATTTTGTGCTTTCAGCAGCAATTACAGGACAACTGTCATCAAATTTTAATTTCTCTTTTTTTTTTTTAAAGTTTAATACGTTTAATGAAACGATTTCTCTTTAAATTATGTATATCGATTTTTCTGAGAAAATTTTCCTTTTTTTATCTGCCTGATTCTAGAGTTATCTGAACAACTGCTGATCAACCTAACTTGTCTGCTGCTGCATGTTCTTAAAGAAAACAGAGCAATTGTTGCAGTTGGTCCTCTAAACAGTTACATTACTGATCTTATACTACTAGCAGTAATTAAAGGGACAGTCACAGGACCATAACCACTACTACTATCTACTGATCTACTGATTTCATATTGATATGGATATGGGTATAAGTAGTGCACATGGCTATTCATTTTAAATAACCCCATGCACCTTTACTCCTCCCCCTCACTTCACTTTAAATTGTTTGTATACTAGTGGTTATGGTACAAGTATCCTATTAGTCTTTGACAAAGTAGATATGCATGGAACGAATCAGGCTTCTATTCCCTACACATTGCCCCAATGCATTTTGCTATGTAATGATAAAGATGATTTTTAATTTAAAGGGATTCTATAGTGTGAGGAATACCAAGTTGTAGATGCCACCAGGAACGTATTAGCCGCGAGGCCTAGGGCAGCACAAAACCAGGATACACCACTGGATGCCACCTGGTCCTCCCTCCCTTGCAGCCCCCAGCATATTAAGGGTTAAAAACCCCATTTATTAACATATCCGTTTCCAGCACCGATGTCCCTCGTCAATGGGTCAGCACTCCGCCTCCTCCAACGTCATCCGATGGGGGGAGCTAATGCACATTTGGGGGATTTCACGGACACTGGATGCTCTGCATGAGGATGTCCAGCGTCAGTTAGACAACCTAGAGTCCAGTAAACTCTTGGAAGTGCCTCTAATGGATGTCTGATTTAGTAGACTGCCACTAGAGGCTGTCTTAGTCCTGCAAGGTAATTATTGCAGTTTATCTAAACCTGCAATGTTTTACATTGCAGGAGTAAGGGTGACAGGGACAATGCGAACAGACCACTTGAATGAGCTGAAGTGGACTGGGTGTCTGTAGGGTCCCTTTATTAACGACTTTCGTTTGAAGGTTGGCTTTTTTGCAGAGACAGGTTTGATTATGGATCCCTAATCCACCATTCTTATTTTCCCGAAAAAGCAAAGAGGGAGAGTGTCATTGAACAAGCGTGTGCGAGCCATTGTAAAATATTTCTACCCATTCAAGGGCACTTCTGCAGCACTCAAGGCATGGCCAACCCTCGTTGGCATAACTGCATGCCAGCATCATACTAAAGTTTTGTTACCGCTTTGTTACCTGGTGATCACTTCGGAAACTTCAGGCAGCGACTGACGATGCCTGTCTGGAGAGGTCCTAAAAGATAATTACAATTAGAGATACATTATTTAGTAATCACTGGGAGTTAGGAAAGTCTGTGTAAAGATTATATTTAATATTAGGATTAGGTTTAGAAGCTGACTTTAAATTTAGAGATTTATGACACTTGGGTGCAGGTAGGGTTAGTATTAATTTTAAAATTACATTTAGTATTACTGTTAGCGTTAAAATAAGATTTAGGGTTATCCCTAGCACAATGAATGGATACGATCCAATGATGCAATGCAGGGAAGGTGCCCTGTAAGACTATTTTCTAATTACAGCTACTGTTCTAGATTACCAGATTCATTAGGGCTTGTTCTGCTTGACTTTGCATTTTCTGTAACACAGTACTATTGATCCCCAGCTATTCGCATTTAGGAGTTTATTCACTAACCATCAAATTATAATGAACTGGAATGCACTTGCAAAATTGTGGCAATAAAAGCCATTATGAAAATAATTGGTTGTAATAACAGTTTGGCTATTTTAGTTAAAATTTAGCAATCAATTTCAATTCACTACGATTTGGTATTATTATTGCTGGCCTTTATATAGCGCCAACATGTTCTACTGTGCTGTACAATTTGGGAAAAGACAGTACAGACAAATACAAACAGTAAAGAAGGCCCTGTCCATGAGCTGAGATCTAACTATTATAGTTATTTTATAAAAAGTACTTAAATAGCCTGTGAGTTTACAATCTAAAGGTTAAAATGGGGAGCAGAGATAAGAGGTAGCAGAGGGGACTAAATAAACCCTTCTTTGACTTAATTTGAGAAATGTAACAACCCTTTTTTACTGATTTGATTGACACTGACACCCATAGCCTGGCCTTTCTATACTGCAGTGGATGACGCTTCTGCATGAGACAGACGAACGATGGGTGTTAACAGGACCGCCATCAGGGGGTGACAACCATGACAGTTATCATGGGCCCGGCGGCCCTAGGGGGCCCGTGCCCCACGTGTAGCGGCGGAACTACCGCTGGTGCAGTTGCACCAGGGCCCGCACGCTGATGGGGCCCATCGGGAGGCCCACGCACTTAGGGCCACCCAATGGGCCCTATATCTTCAGGGGCCCGGTCAGTGCTGCAGCCGTGCAATAGCACTACAGGGCCCCTTTAAAAAAAAAAAAAAGCTGCAGCAAGTGCTGCTGGGAGGAAGTGGTCACTTCCTCCCAGCTCACTCCGCGCGGGAGGAGAGACAGCCCTGCAGTGAAGAGGCAGAGCCAGCCGACTCCCATCAGCCCCAGCCACTCTCCTGCAAAGAAAAAGTAAGAGACAGGAGGGTGGCTGAAAAATGAGATGTCTGTGTCTATATGTATGTATGTCTGTCTTATGTATGTCTGTCTGTATGTCTCTGTCTGTCTGTCATTGTGTGTGTGTGTGTGTATGTATGTCAGGATGTATGTATGCCAGTATCTATGTATGTATGTATGTATGTATGCATGTCATTATGAATGTGTGTATGTATGTATGGATGTCAGTGTCTGTATGCATGTATGTCTTTCTGTCTGTATGAATGTATGTCTGTGTATGTATGTATGTATGTATGTATGTGTGTATAGATGTCAGTGTCTGTATGCCAGTATGAATGTATGTATGTCTGTCTGTCTGTCTGTATGTCATTATGAATGTGTCTGTGTGTATATCCTTATGCATGTGTGTCTGTATGTGTGTTAGTATGTGTCTGTCTGTCACTATGTATGTCTGTATATGTGTATGTCTCAGTATGTGTGTGTCAGTATGTATGCCTATATGCGTGTATGTCTGTTTCAGTATGTGTGTCTGTTGGTATGTGTAATATTTATTTTGTAATACTTCTTTAATTGGAACTCAACTGCAGAATTTCCTGGTTGCAGCAACAATAAGTTTCACCTCCTTTTATATTGATATGAAACAATGGTCACTGTATCTTTAAATACACATGAAGGAAAAATTAGGCTTTGTAGCAATCCCTTATGAATAAGAGGAATAATTAGACAAAGTGACACTTTAGTGAGTTTTAGATACTGTGTAACATAAATAATAGGAATTGGCTTGTTTGGTAAAATAATTACTTAACTTAAAGGCAGTTCTGGCACTGGAAGGGTTAATTCACCCAATGAAGGAGAAATTAGAAGTCCGTTTCAACAAGCTGAGAACTAGGAGTGGAGAGTGGGGAAGTCCGTTTTAACAAGCCGAGGTCTAGGAGTGGAGAAGGTAGAAATCCGTTTACAAGCCGAGGTCGAGAAGTGGAGAAGGTAGAAATCCGTTTACTAGCCGAGGTATAGAAGTGGAGCAGGTAGAAATCCGTTTACAAGCCGAGGTCGAGAAGTGGAGAAGGTAAAAATCCGTTTACTAGCCGAGGTATAGAAGTGGAGCAGGTAGGATCAAAAGTAGAGCATCTGATCTTCATGCAGCACCTGTGCGAATAATCCAGCCCTTTGAATCTGGCGCGGTCCTCCTAAGTATCGTGGAGGGACCGCGTCAGAGAAAGGGGCGGGCTGAGCGCCGTGAACCCGGAAGTGGGTTCCGGCGATGAATGCCATGCTATACCTGACAGTACCCCCTTCCCATGGGGCATCCTCTGGGTGCACTATTTCGGTTTGGAGGGGTAGCGTTTGTGAAAGGCAGTAACTAACCTCCTAGCATGTACATTAGATGAATCTTCCCAAGTGTCTTCATCAACTCCATAACCTTTCCATCTGATAAGGTATTGTAAGGAGCCACGGTGGACACGAGAATCCCAAATTTTGTGAATTTCATATTCTTCTTCACCTTGGACAATGATAGGTTCAGGAGTTGTTACTATTTCTCTATAAAAAGGATCAGGGATGTGTGGTTTAAGTAAGGAGACATGGAATACTGGATGAAGTTTAAAACTTGGAGGAAGTTTTAGTTTAACAACGTTATCATTAATGGTAGTAATTACTTGAAAGGGACCAAGAAAAAGAGAGCTCAATTTCTTTGAAGGACGGCTTGTGGTAATATTCCTTGAAGAGAGCCAGACAAGATCCCCTACCTTGTAAGGAGGGGGAATTCTTCTATTATTGTCAAAAAACTTTTTCTGGTTATTTTGGGCGAGTTGAAGATTCTCCCGTAATTTGAGAAATAGAGAAGACATAAATTCGTTTTTTGATGTAACAGTAGGATTGGATGAAGTAATGGTTTGGATGGGGAATGAAGACGGATGAAAACCATAGTTGGAGAAGAAAGGAGTCATTTTCGTACTAGAATGAATGGTATTATTGTAAGAAAATTCGGCCATAGGTAACCATGTGGTCCAGTCATCTTGGAGGTATGAGCAATAACATCGAAGATATTGTTCCAAACATTGATTAACCCTTTCTGTTTGCCCATTAGTTTGGGGATGATAAGCGGAAGAGAGTTTGCGTTGAATTTGAAGGGAGAGACACATCTCTTTCCAGAATTTGGAGGTAAATTGTGTCCCCTATCAGAAATAATTTCTTCAGGAAGACCATGAAGTTTCACAATATTGTCAATAAAGACCTTAGACAATTCTACAGAGGAGGGTAATTTTTTTAAGGAAATGAAATGGGACATTTTTGTGAAGCGATCCACAACGACAAGAATAGTGGTGAAATGTTGAGAAGGTGGGAGATCAGCGATAAAATCCATAGAAATGGATTGCCAAGGTTTTTCTGGAATAGGTAAGTTAAGTAGTAATCCAAAAGGTTGATTATGTTCTGGTTTAGACCTTTGACAGATAGGACATGTTTTGACATATAATTCAATGGTTCTATCCTGGCGAGGCCACCAATAATATCGTGAAGTTAGTTCAAGTGTTTTCTTTATTCCAGGATGTCCAGCTAGGGGTGAATCATGAACCATCTTAAGTAATTTATTCCTAAGAATGGGAGGAATATAAATTCTATTTTTAAAATAAAATATACCATCCTTTTTTGTTAGTATAGGTGTTTTGGGAAGTTCAAGATCCTTCTGATTCAAATTCTTTATGTCATCATGAAGAGAAGAGAGGATCCCTATTATTTTGTTAGGAGGATAATCATCAATAGTAGTTTTAGAAGGAATTCGAGAAAGAGCGTCAGCCTTTTTATTTCTAGTTCCAGGTCTGTATATTAATTGGAAGTTAAATCGGTTAAAAAATAGGTTCCATCTAACTTGTCTAGCTGTAAGGGTTTTGTTAGTATAGAGATATTCAAGATTTTTATGGTCAGTATAAACTATTATAGGTTGTTTTGTATCTTCCAGAAGATGACGCCAATTTTCGAAGGCAGCTTTAACACTTAATAATTCTTTTTCACCAATAGGATAATTTTTTTCAGCAGAGCTCAAGGATCTTGAAAAAAAGGCAACTGGATGAAGTGGATCTTGTGGAGTCTTTTGTTGAGAAAGAACTGCTCCGATGGCTGCATCTGATGCATCAACTTCAAGAACATATAAGAATGTTGGATTAGGTAGTTGTAGAATAGGTGCAGTTGTAAATCTTTTTTTTAATTCGTCGAAGGCTGTTTGTGCATCTTTATTCCAATTGAAAGGACGTTTACTACTGTTGAGGAGGTTAAGAGGATGTGATACATCTGAATAGTTTCTAATAAATTTTCTAATAAATTTTCTATAGAAGTTTGCAAATCCAAGAAAACGTTGTAATTCTTTTGTAGTAGTAGGAGCGGGCCAGTCAATAATACATTTGATTTTGGAATTATCCATCTTCAAAGAATGAGGTGAAATAATGTATCCTAGAAAAGAGAATTCAGTAACCTCAAAAAGGCATTTTTCTGGTTTAGCGTATAATTTATGAGTTCTCAGTCTAGATAGAACCCATCTAACATGCTTCCTATGTTCATCCAAATTGTTAGAATATATTAAGATATCATCTAAGTAGATAATAACACATATATCCAGAAGATCTCTAAAGATATCATTTATAAAATGTTGAAATGTTGCAGGGGCATTACAGAGCCCAAAAGGCATCACTAGATATTCGTAGAGACCATATCTTGTCCGGAAGGCGGTTTTCCATTCATCATCCTGTTTTATTCTAATGAGGTTATATGCGCCTCGAAGGTCGAGTTTAGTGAATATAGTTGCAGTTCTTAACCTTTCAATTAATTCATTTATTAGTGGAAGAGGATAACGATTTTTAATAGTTATTTTATTTAAGGCTCTGTAATCTATAATAGGACGGATGGTTTGGTCTTTATTCTTCACAAAGAAAATACTAGAAGCAGCTGGGGAGGTCGAGGGTCTGATGAACCCTTTGCGTAAATTTTCATTAAGATATTCTTTTAAAATTTCTAACTCCTTTTCAGAGAGTGGATAAATATGACCATAAGGAATAGGAGCTCCGGGTATGAGATCTATTGGGCAATCATATACCCGATGAGGAGGAAGTGTTTCCGCTTCTTTTTTACAAAAGACATCTGCAAAATCGGAGTAGAATGGAGGTATAACTGGTTCTACAGTAGTTTGGAGAATAGGAATGTGTTGTAAGCACGTTTTTTTACAGAAATCAGAAGCAAAGGAGATGGAGAAGGGAGACCACTTAATTAAAGGATCATGGGTTTTTAACCAATTAATTCCTAGAATGACGGGATAAAGTGGAGATTTAATAATATCAAATGTAATGAATTCGAAATGTACGTTGTTGGTAATCATTCTTAGAGGGATTGTCTCATCTTTGATGGGTCCTGAGGATATAAATGAACCGTCAATAACTCTGATTGGAATAAAGTTAGTTTTTTGAACACAAGGAATTTTATTTTTTGAAACAAAAGAAAAATCAAGAAAAGTTCCATTAGCACCAGAATCAATGATGGCCTCAGTCACGATTCTTTTTGTATCCCACTGTAATATGAGAGATATAGAAAAATAAGTAGATGCTTTTCTTTTTTGAAAAACGTTCAATATAGAGGTAGATGAATGAAGCTTACTACCTTTTGAATGTTTCAGTAGAGGACATTCGGAAATTAGATGTTCATTCGAAGCACAATACATACATAAGTTTAGTTGTCTCCTTCTTATTCTTTCTTCAGAAGTAAGAGGACTTTTTATTATACCTACTTCCATAGGTTCAGTTTGTGGAGGAATTTTTTCAGGTAGTTTTAGAGTAGTGAAAGGTTTTCTCCAGGTAGAATTAGTAAGAACCCTTTCAGCTTTTCTTTCTCTTAGACGTCTATCAATACTGATGGACAGTTGAATCAATGCATTTAAGGTAGGAGGAAGTTCTGTACGAGAGAGTTCATCTTTCACAGCTTCAGATAATCCGAGACGGAATTGATTGCGTAAAGTAATGTCATTCCATTGGGTTTCTGTAGCCCATCTTTTGAATTCTGCAATATAATCTTCAACAGGTCTATTCTTTTGGTGTAATGTTCTGATGGTTAAATCAGCAGTAGTTTGTTTAAAAGGATCTTCATATAATAAAGACATAGCTTCAAAGAACTCATCCAATGAATCTAATATGGGATCATCATTTTCCAAAAAGGAATGGGCCCAGGCCATAGGTTCACCTCTTAAAAAAGAGATCACTGAACAGACTTTGGATCTTTCGGTGGGATAAGATCTAGGTTTTAAAGCTATTAGTAGTTTGCAAGAATTCAAAAACTCTCTGTACTTTGTTCTATCTCCATAAAATTTTTCTGGATTACAGACAGCAGGATCACCAGCCGATTGAAGAGCGGCATGAGGAAGATGACCTTGAATGTCTCTAACATAGGTTAATATTCTCTCATTTGTAATTTGCAGTTCCTGTAACCCTTGAGCAATCGTATCCACTCTATTGGTTAGGGCAGAAACTTGAGAGTTGATATCTGCTGGTTCCATTGAATATGGCTGGATTATTCTGTAATATTTATTTTGTAATACTTCTTTAATTGGAACTCAACTGCAGAATTTCCTGGTTGCAGCAACAATAAGTTTCACCTCCTTTTATATTGATATGAAACAATGGTCACTGTACCTTTAAATACACATGAAGGAAAAATTAGGCTTTGTAGCAATCCCTTATGAATAAGAGGAATAATTAGACAAAGTGACACTTTAGTGAGTTTTAGATACTGTGTAACATAAATAATAGGAATTGGCTTGTTTGGTAAAAGTATTACTTAACTTAAAGGCAGTTCTGGCACTGGAAGGGTTAATTCACCCAATGAAGGAGAAATTAGAAGTCCGTTTCAACAAGCTGAGAACTAGGAGTGGAGAGTGGGGAAGTCCGTTTTAACAAGCCGAGGTCTGGGAGTGGAGAAGGTAGAATTCAGAGTTACAAGCCGAGGTCTAGGAGTGGAGAAGGTAGAAATCCGTTTACAAGCCGAGGTCGAGAAGTGGAGAAGGTAGAAATCCGTTTACAAGCCGAGGTCGAGAAGTGGAGAAGGTAGAAATCCGTTTTACTAGCCGAGGTCTAGAAGTGGAGCAGGTAGGATCAAAAGTAGAGCAGCTGATCTTTCTGCAGCACCTGTGCGAATAATCCAGCCCTTTGAATCTGGCGCGGTCTTCCTAAGTATCGTGGAGGGACCACGTCAGAAAAAAGGGCGGGGCTGAGCGCCGTGAACCCGGAAGTGGGTTCCGGCGACGAAATACATGCCATGCTATACCTGACAGTATGTATCAGTGTGTGTGTGTGTGTGTGTGTGTGCGCGTGTGTGTGTGTGTGAATCTGTGTCCTTTTGTATCGGTGAATGTGTTTGTGTCTGTGTGAGTATTCCTGTGGGCGGGATTTGGAGGCGGTCCCTGTGGGTGGGCTTGGAGGCGGACCCCCAGGGGCCCAGACCCTGAGCTCAGTTAGGGGCCCCAAAATTTCTGGTGGCGGCCCTGGGTGTTAATAATGGGATCCGAGCATCAGTCTATCACTGTTGCACATTACTGGTATTTTGTAATGTAACATTACTGGTATTTTGTGATATACATAATGCAGAAAGTAACCTCCGCTTTAACTGTACCCTCCAAAGGGGATTGAAGATGGAGCCACAGTCACCTGGGGACCCTCATTTAGTGTCAACCCAATGAAGAACGATTTGACACTGAAGGGTGGGAGAGTTTCTGAGGTCTCCAGGTACCATAATCACTTCAATGAAATTAAATTGTTATGCTGCCTTAAATGTCCCTTGAATCTTGTCTTTAGGATACTTTTATGCTGCCCTGTGTAAGAGATTAATGTGCAAATCAGCATTGACAAGGTCTGAGCCAAAAGAGTCTATTCATCAATTGTTAATTGACTGTAACGACAAACCTCTCTCAAACGCAATTTAAAAGTGACCTTCAATTTTGGAGTTCCTCCTGTTTTTTTAAGCATTATATGTAAAATATATTACATAGCATTCATAAATCAACAGTAAAAAGAATAAAAAGATACTCTTGTATGTAGTAATTTGTAATGAAGTAATTTTGAATTGCAAACTTTAGGTTACAATAGTTAAGCTGTAATTATATTTCAGCCAGACAGTGTTATATTTATGGCTACAATTTTGTAGTTTATTGAATAAACTCAATTGGAACCTCTTGTTTATTTTCCCAATTGAGCAAGGGGATGCCCAATGTATACTAGAAATGGTTAGTGGGATTTGAAGAGGGCAATTCATGAAAACACATGAATGAAACCACTGCACAAGCTTATTAAGTAAATTACTGAACAACTGTTGGACTCTGCCAACGTAACCCCATGTACCCCACCCCTGATGCAATGACATGCTTGGCATCCGGACGGAACCATGCTAGCGTATGACTCTGCCAATGGCTGGGTCTAAATGGGTATACTAAATAGTGTCAATTCATTATACCGATCAGGTCCAGCCAGCCCTGCTATGCACAGGTAGCCTTCAGGCCTAGATGGGCAACTACAGGGCATCAGTGAGAAGACTGACTGACTCCCACCCTGGTGTTACTAGCCAATCATAGCCATATTAGACAGAATAATATATCAGGACTGTGATCGATTTAGTGCATGTAGGTGATTCGAGCTTTAATTATTTTATCCAGCACCACCTCAAAACATGCATTTATTTGTTTAAGCATTCACAATAAATGCAGAAACATAATACAAATTTATAGATACCCATTTACTGGCAAAATATATTAATTTACATTTAACCAGTTGGAAGAATATGATTTATTCAGTCCAGTCAGTTTTAAAATAGATATACCTGCCATTTTAAAGTACACAAGAGGATCAGATTTAATCAGAAAGCAAAACTAAGAAAAAACTAATGCTGAGTTTGCACACAGTGCTGCACATGGACTGCACTCAGCTGACCTCATTCACTAAGTTGTATAACAGGGGAAAACATGATGCAATGTTTTTATTTATGAAAGAAACTGTACAAAATGATGTTTAGATCTATTTGTTAACTGCACAAAAATGACTGCATATTGATAAAAAAACAAACAAACAAAAAAAAACAATGAGCATTTTAATAAAGCCATAAAACTATTTTAAAAAACCAGGGAACACGGTTCCTCAACCAAGATGGCCGCCATCACACGACACGGTTTGTAGCGGTGGCGTCATATCCGACCGCCTACTTGTTTCAAACACTAGAGCCTAAATGCCACTTGATTAGTTTTAAACATGTGATTTCCTAACTGCATCCAGAAATGTGAGGGGTGGTCATTGTGGCCAAGGCACTGTGTGTGGGTAATGCCCTATAGGTAACATTGCAATATTATAACTCATTCAATGGAGCAGGTTCATAGACAGTGTGTGTTTATGGCTCTCCGGCTTAGAACTCTGTGCCTTGCCTGCCAGGTGTAGCTGTCAGAGCTCTGGGCAGTCAGTCTGCTGGAGGCTGGGGTCCAGGGAAGTCACATTGCTGCTGCTGCCTGCACCATGTCCTTCTGCTCCTTTTTTGGTGGGGAGGTTTATAAAGACCACTTCAAGCCTGGTAATTAATCTAAATGAACACTTATTAACAATGGCAAGTCTGACACTCTTACTGCTGTGCATTCTAACTCCTATTATCCTTAAAGCCTGATGTGAGTGGTAGTCCATACAGCACCCTAGGGTGTCATAGTTTATTTATCTGAGAGTTTATTGGTTTGTTTCTTTTAAAAAAATATATATTTTTATTTTATTTTTTTAATTTAATTTTTTTTTTCTGCAGAGTGGAAGTGTTGTAATCATGGGAACTGATACAATGTTTCAGTTCCCATCATTTCTAAATGACATACACTGACTGTAGGCTATATGAGTAGAGCCATAATAGTTGGTTATGGGACAAAAGTCTTCTTCAAATTTTGGTTTAAAACCTGCTTTGATTTCAATCTCTGACTGTTTAGACTTTAGTGATTATGTCTGTCTTCTACTTGTGCTTTTCTAAACATTTTTAATGTTAGAATTTATCTATCAGCATATGGCCTAATATGTAACATGAATATATCTGGATAAATACAGAATCTGGTGTATAATCACTGCAAAATGCCTGAGAATTGCATTTCAATTCTGATGAAAAGCTGAACGTGGAGAAATAATCACACATTTTTCCCTCTGGTACACTTGTATTTTTATTATTGATACATAACTTGCATTGTCACATGTTAGTACAGTGGTTCCCAAACTTTTTTTAGGTTAAAGGCTCCCTTAATATTTCAATAATTTTCCAAGGCGCCCAAAGTAAAAAAATATTTCTAGGTTGAATACATGTACAGCGCAGTGGCATATCCTGGGCCCCTGTAACAATCCAGGCACAATAACCATTACAGCACGCGGTAGTAGTTATGGTGCCAGGTGTGCTGTGGTGCCCTCCCACGGTAAGTAGTCAAACTGTTTAAGAACAGTTTGACAACTTAACTGTGGTCTGTCAGGAGGGGCATTAGGGTTTGTGTACGGTGGTGCAGTGTGTGCGATACAATGTGTGCATGAAGGGGTACAGTGTGTGAGGACAGAGTGTGTTTGAGGGGTGCAGTGTGTGTATAGGGGAGAATTATTGTGGGTCTGTGGGGTTGGAGGGTGTGTGTGTGTGTGTGTGTGTGTGTGTGTGTGTGTGTGTGTGTGTGTATATATATATATATATATATATATATATATATATATATATATATATATATATATATATATATATATATATATATATATATACACACGATTTTTTTTTTTTTTGATATCCCTCCTCTCTGCAATTCAATTTCTACCAGCCTCTCGAAGAATAATCCTGGGTTCACAATGTTAAAATCGTCTTTTTCTGGCATTTGTCCCAGATGTTTGACGTATGTTTTTATATTTGGATGCCAGTATGTCCTGTTCCTAGTATGTAATAAACTTTGCATGGGGCTTCTTTGATATCAGAGTTTACAAAGTGGACCTGATAGCCCGGTATACCTTTAAGAAAAACGAACAACTCAAAGGATACCTGTGCCACACTATTTCTTAGGCAATTTGCAATATCCCGTGTGAAGGCATTGTGGTTTGAAAAAGCCAAGTTTAATTATTAAAGGGATGCTCCACTGCCCAAATTAAAAAAAATAAAAAAAAAAATAAAAAAAAAAAATCACTTTTAATAGATATATCGCTAATGAAATAATTAGTCACAAAAGTCTTGTTTAAAAATAAATAAAATAATAAATTCAGAGGCTACTGACTTGCACATCTTATGGTATTTTGTTTAGAAGGCAAATAAATAAAATAATAATAATAATAATAATAAAAAAAACTTTACAACCAAAACCAAACTAATGTATGCTTTTAATTATGCATTTTCCATTGGTGGTATATCTAAAACAGGAGTCTGGTCTGTCCCTTTAAAGCCTTGGGTCTTCAATGGGATCTATCAAGCAGGATAACACCTGGTACACTATCTGGTATTGTGGTACTTAATGTTACAGGAGTTAATATATTGCATTGTATTTGTCAATACAAGAACATGGCTTTATTTACAGAACAGTGGGACATACACATAATCTGGAAAATAATCCACAGCAACTAATTACACAAATTATTATTTTGTTTTCAATAAATGGTCCTGCAGTTTAATGTGTAGCTTGCACCAAAAGCTTCCCCTGTGTTGTAATAACCCTTTATGTACGGTCTATAGCATGTTGTGTAACATGATCCTCTGCTGTTTCATAACTTCTTCTAAATGACTTCACAGGATCTGTTAACATTTCCCGAACGAGAAGTAAAATGTAATGTTTCAGAACAACTTATTAGACCTTACTCCATAATTTATATAATAAATAAATAAAAACACATTCTCCATAACTGGCTAATTGGGGAATATCTTATTTTGAAAGGCAAAACAGTAGACTACTATACATTTCATTACTTAGTGCTAGCTGGGTATTGATGCCAGAGTAGGCATTTGCCTGTTGAGGGATAGAGGTGGGGGTGGGATGTTAGTTGTATAACTTCTGTAAATATAGTGAATGTGTTAATAATTTATGATCAGTCTTCCCTTATCCTGCTATCACAAGCTATATTTGGTACAGTTTGCAATGGGATATGTCTTATTTTACTGCAACTCTGAACTCTATTATCTATTATTATTATGGTGGTGGCAGACTTGGTCCAATGACAAGTCTGTTAAGTCTTTAGCCTGACTAATCATCATGGGAAATGCAATAGTTCACAAACCTTGTCAGAGCTATGTTCACCAGTAACTGATGGGACTAGTGCTTATTCTGTGATTAGTTTTGAAATGTGACTTTCTGGACTTGTTGATAAAGTTGTGAACAAAAAATAGTATTAAATGTGTGTAAAAAGGCATCCTGTACTCAGAATTGGTCTAAAATGGAGACTCGTGGGCCACCAACAGGTCTGGCTTTAGCAATGTCTGTTTTTGTACAGAACTGGGTAATATCTAAATCTAGGACTCCTAACCTTTTAATATGCTGGATACAATCTGCTTTAGAATAATGGCTTTGAGTAGTGATCTGTGCATATACATAGATGACATGTGACTGAAAAATTGGTTTTGTTTTTGCCCTTCTAGGAGTATACGCATGTGCCCAGTGTGGCTTTGAGCTGTTCTCCAGCCGTTCTAAATTCGAGCATTCCTCTCCTTGGCCGGCTTTCACAGAGACCATCCATGATAACAGTCTATCAAAGTACAAAGAACGGCCCAATGCTTTTAAGGTAAGGCCTCCGGAAATATCTTCTGCTGTGGGTCACCAAAAGACTTTGCTACTACATCTAAAATGGCTATTAATGGAGTTAAAGTTTACTCTTAACCTTTCATGTGGATGGCTGTTTGAGGAGCTATTTGCCAACTAGAGAAGTGTCCTAAAAATAATGTGTAGGGAATTGCACTTCACCCAACCCAACAAAGCAAACCTAACCTGTCAGGATAGGGGTAGGAATGAAAACACACAAACTCAGGACACAACAAGGAAAAGACAATTCATATGCCAATCCTTAGAATGGCCAGGCTAAAGGAGAACAGTCAGAGTAATAGCCGAGCTCATGGATGGGAGAAACCTGGGTAAACAGAGACAGGCCAAGTCAAAGGAGTACAGAGGTCAGGATAAATGTTAATCAAAGAAGCAGAGAAATGTAAGAATGCGCTACTGAGCTCACTAAAGCCACAACAAGGCAACTATGGCTGGGACAGGGGAGCATTTATAGACATGGGATGTTTATTATTGGCTGAGTTGTTTTGGTGTGTGGGCTGCAAAATAACTTAATTGCAGGACCCACAACGTCATTAGAATGCACTGGAGTCGATTCAGCAAGCGCGTCATTTAAATGCGGCTGCTCATCTGGGTGCGTATTTAAAGACGCGAACAAGCAATGTGCGCCGCCGTAGAGAATTTTAATTTTATGGAACAATAATGGTGCTTTATAGCTCCTTTCAGTGTCCATAGATTTTTTTTTATTTTTTTTTGCCATCCTTCATATAAAATATTTTGACTCAACACTCTGTATTTACCATCCTTGATAATCACTGTGTTGATACAAAAGGATTCTACTGTGATGGATGGCACCAAACAAATTGTATCAAACACTGAATAGAGGAGGGGTGCTCTACCGCTAGAGTTGACCTACTCAGACATTTCTCTGATTGCAGTCACTGTGTAACGATCCTCTGTCTTCACAGATCTCATGTGGAAAATGTGGAAATGGATTGGGGCATGAGTTCTTAAATGATGGGCCAAAGAAGGGTCAATCTCGTTTCTGAATATTCAGTAGCTCATTGAAGTTTGTCCCGAAAGGTAAGACCTGCCTATATTTAATCTAAATTGATCCGTTGTGTTCTTGAACTATCTTCAAGTTTCTTCCTATTTTTATGGCTTTGTCTGAACTCCTTGACATTGATAGGGATTATTCATTAAACAGCACATAGCATTAAAAGGAAAAACAGAACTACAAAAATCCAGACTAACGTAAACTAGCCAAGTGAGTACAGCTGAGTTGGAGGAATTTGTTCAGATCAGCCTTTCAGACTTAAATTTAGCAACTTGCTTTTTTTAGTTCTCTACGATTCAGTGCCTAGTGAATGGACCTATGCTGTGTGTAAACCTGTCTAGGACAGTTGAAGGTTAATCTTGCAGTGTGTGTGTATATATAATGGATGAGGTGGAATTTGTTCCTAATTGTGAACTTTAGACCAGTTCTGTGGTATCTTAAATCAGCATTTCTTCGAATTCAGTCGCAAGTCCAGAAAATGCATACACTTCGGTCATAAAATGTGCTTGCTTGCAAACATTTTCTGTTCCGAGATACAAATTTACCTGATCGTAGCTTAAAGGGATACTATAGTGCCAGATTGCAGCTAAATATATCTTAGAACAGATTAATTAAAGGGACACTATAGTCACCAGAACAACTACAGCTTATTAAATTTGTTCTGGTGAGTAGATTTATTACCGTCAGGCTTTTTGCTGTAAACTCTCTTTTTTCAGAGAAAATGCAGTGTTTACATTACAGCCTAGTGATAACTTCACTGGCCACTCCTCAGATGGCTGTTAGAGATCCTTCCTGGGTCATGGCTGCCTAAAATGCATCCAAACATTCAGAGTCTCCACCCTCTGCATGCAGACATTGATTCAATTCATCTCTATGAGGAGATGCTGATTGGCCAGGGCTGTGTTTGAATCATGCTGACTCTGACCCTGAACTGCCTCTTTGTCAGTCTCAGCCAATCCTATGGGGAGCACTGTGATTAGATCAGGCTACCACTTCTGATGATGTCAGCAGACTAGATGGTGGTTTTAACACTATAGGGTCAGGAATACATGTTTGTGTTCCTGACCCTATAGTGATCCTTTAAATACACATTAGTTCATTTAGCACTATTTAATTTGTCTCCCATGTTAAGATAAGTGTAGGACCCATCGGTATTGGAGTACTGTGGTGGGCTGAAAGGAACAATAGTGTCAGGAATACATGTCTATAGTTGTAAAATACAGTTTAGGGTTCGGCGCTCCCTCTCTGTTTAGGTAAAAAAAAATTTACACACCTTTCGTTCCAGTTTCATGCCGGTCTCGTTGTCTGCTTTACCTCCTTGGCTGAGATCATCAAACGATAGCATTGGGAGGCTATGGCGCATTTGCGATAAAATGCTGCGCTGATCAGTATCACCTTGTAGAGATGCATTGAATGACCCAGGAAGCACTTCTAGTTGCCATCTGAGTGACTGATGCTGGAGGTGTCCCTAGGGAGAAATGTAAACACTGCCCTTTTCTCAAAAAAGGCAGTGTTTACAGAAAAAAAGCCTGCAGGGACTGACTATACTCACCAGAACAACTACTTTAAGCTGTAGTTGTTCTGGTGACTATAGTGTCCCTTTAACATGATGTGGCCATATGTTTGAATGGAATCCCCATATTTGTTTGCATAAAGGTGATATTTAAGTAGCCTTGTAAAATTTAAAACTGTATGTTTGTTTATGTGTGCTGTTCCTGAATCTGTACTTTTTATGAATGTGGCATATCATGGGGATCAAATTCACATGAAATCCTCCCGAAGTAGACTGGACCTTCCCTAGCACCCATGATCATTCTAAACAGAATTAAACTTTCCTGGAATGTTAATCCATACATTTTTTCTTCTTGTGACTCAGACAAAGTTGATGGGCAAGTGAAGGAATAAAGAGAAAAGAATGTAAGGATCTCCTGAATCCTCTTTGTTTTCTGATGCTGAATGACTTGCCCTACGATAAACCCTTCCTGGACGTCTGGGGTAACGAGGAATACGCGTTGGACTGCAATGTGGTTTTGGGAAATCTGCTGATACTGTAACACTCACACTTTATAATCTGACTGAAATTAATCCGCACAATTTTATCCACCTCCCCTTGGTATCATCACAAATGGTTGCAACTCCTTGGCCATACACCCCAGGACAGAATGGACTTTCATTTAAAGTGACCTTTTTCTGATGGTTGGGTGCAATTGAACTCAACATTTTCTTATCTCGGTAAACCGTTGCCGCTGTGGGGAAAGGTCCCACCGTCTGTAACTGATCTGTCCTAAAACGGTTTAGAACAATATAACATCTCAAAGTCTCCTTCATCAATATCTTTCTGTTGACTGTGTGATCTTATGATTTTGTTTGTCCTTATGAGATAATGCAGCCAGTTGAAAGGTACTGACTATATTAAAGGCACTATGCTTTAGCGTACCATGCTGTTATAGGCAACTGGGGTCTGGATGTGATCTGTTAAACGGTTGGACTGTTATGAGTGCAAATATTCTGCCACATACTATGGTACTTTAATAGCCAGATTTTTCAAAACATTGCTTACACCAAGCTATATCCTCTACCTTGTCTATATATATATATATTGCAGCTCCACTTTCAACCCATCTACAGATTTATACAAATATTTTTTTCAGCAAAATTTAATTTATATTTGTCAAAAATAATTTTTAGGGGTGATTAATATATTTTATTACATTATTTTTGCAAATCAGAGGACACAATTTATTCAGGGGATACAATAGATTATATTGGTATTTAATTGGTTAAAACCAAACTATCCAGTTCATTTTTGTCTTTTTATATTTCTTAGTATTCCCCCTCCCAAGTACAGAAAGGAATGCTCCCTCCGATCACCTGTACCCCCTAGTTAGCTTGATCTCATTGCTAACTCACTACCTGTTAACATGATTGTAGGATATCTCCCTGAATCTCTTTCAAGTCCTAGAATGTACAAAGACCATTAAACTAGTGTGGCTGGAAAGGCCGTGTAGAAACCTCTTTACATATAGGATAGAATTTGTGTGGAAGGACGTCAGTGGAGGCTGGACCGTAGGGGCAGGTGAGGTGGTAAATCAAAGGAGGAAAGGTTTGATGTGACACAAAATGTGTCCATCTCCTGTATTAGGAAAAAGGTTCTACCTCTTATATTAAAACATTTACTGGTTTGAGATGGATAGAAACTAACTTTAGTTACATTATTAGGCAATCTTCATTGTGGGTTTTGACAGTGGTATTAAATGAAGGTAACTGTAGAGGCGTCTATGATTTCAGTTGTATGCTGCCACTCTTAAACATTTCAGGAACTTAATGGTTTGGTGCCTCTGCAGGAATTAATTGTTTTAATCACAAAACATGACTCTCATTGCTTCTTGTGTATTAAAGTCATTTTTAAAAAATCTCTAATAAAGCACAACTTGATCTTATGAAAATGTTTCCAGTTTTACTGCTGTTTTCTAGACATGTCCTCTTTAACCCTGTAAAAGATTAGTTTTATAGCAGATCATTAAAAGGATTGCTGTTTAAACTAGATGAGGTTTGTGTAGCAGAAAGTTTGGCAACTATGTATTTCAATATAAGAAACCCTATAATTCATTTCATTGACCATGCAAGTCTCTTCTTGCCTAAAACTTCTTGCAATGTTTTTGTCTATTTCTCAAATCTTGGTTTAATGAACACAAACATTTTCTCTCAGAATAAAAGTACATGGTAACTTTATGTATCTTAAACCGTTCGCGATTGTACAGAGATCAACCCAAATTTATAGAAAGGAAAGGGGGGCGGGCGCTGCATTATAAAATGCAAAACTTAAGTAAAACAAATATTAAGGAGAAAAGGTGTAGTACCTGGCTTAATAATGGCTGGACGTCGAATAGTACAGGACTATCCGAAGTCAGGGTTACAGAAGACAGGATAAACAAGAGAATAGCCAAACAAGAGAATAGCCAAAGGTCAAGGACAACACAAAGTAGCATAGTCAAGGTCGGATAAGCCAGAAATAACAAAAGTATACGCATTCTCGGATTTTACCAAACGGAAACCATAAGGCACCATAGAAAAGATTTAGAGTTTAAATAGTACCGCAAGGGAAAGGATTGGTCAGAATTAACCATGTGAAGCCAAAATGTGCGTGTTAATGACGTGATGGTGCATGCATGTCCGCATCATCAGTGTGAATTCCAGAGCCAGGTCTTATCTAAATCGGCTTGACAGAGCGACCAGCGTTTAATCGAACACCATCTCGGCCGGGAAATGCTGAGCGGAAGGGAATCAGTCTTGAGTTGAGTACAGGAGTGGGGTTTCCCCTAACTTGGGCGCACCGATCGAGCAAATATCTCAAGATGTTCCTGTGTGCTCATAACCTAGCTCTGACTGCTTTCCACAGAGTGGAGAACCGTACATAGACAGAGATACTGATCATTGCACAGACCAGTTTCACTCATCCTTTGTGATGTGTGGGATTCCATCTGGGGGATGAATTACTTATCCCATCTGCCACAGTGGGGGCAGGATTTGTAGGAAAGCTGACTCCATAGACCAGAATGATACTTTCCTGATTAAAGATTCTTCCTTGTCAGTGGTCTGCCTGCTACTGACACTACTGGGTAGGAGATGCTGATTTAAAGAAACACTCTGGGCACTATAACTTAATCTGAATTAAGTTATGGTGCCAGGCGGTAGCTGGCACCAGCTAACCTTTTAGAGGTTAAACTTCTCCTTGTTTAATCACAGTCTTTTATCCAGTGCTGTCTAGCTCTGTCTCTGTCCTGTCACCTCTTAGATATATCAACCAGGAAGCCTTAGACTGGGGCACCACTGATTGGCTGAGCCATCAGCTAATGCTCTAAAATAGGGAAAGGCAACCTTTGGCACTCCAGATGTTGTGGACTACATTCCCCATAATGCTGGCAAAGCATCATGGGAGGTGTAGTCCAAAACATCTGCAGTGCCGTAGGTTGCTTATGCCTGCTCTAAACCAATCAACAGTTCTTCATTCACAAAAATTATTTGAGGGCGAAAATACATGTCTCTCAAGCCGTTTTAAGACTTAGGAGAAGTTTATGCTCTCAACCAATCAGTGGCGCCCCTGTTAGAGGCTTCCTGGTTGAAGAATCTCAGAAGTGGTAGAGCAGAGGCAGAACTAAACGCTGGAGAGAGACCTTGGGATTAAACCATTCATGAACAGTTCAATAGGCCACTGCCAGACCTCCAGGCACCCTAACATCATTCTGATGAAGTTCTTATGGTGCCTAGAGACTCCCTTTAACTTATTTTAATTGTGTTTTTCATTTATAGTTTGACTTTTCTTCTTTGCGTTTAGGAAAAGCTGCCTTACCTCTTTACATTGTGGTCTAGTTTCATACCTGACCTTATAAATCCGTGTCTGGTACCTTTCATACTGTAGGTGCTCCCAGAATGCCCTCAGCATTATTTGCTTACGGACGGTAAATAGACACGGACTGCGCCACTTGGAGAAAGATTAGAATATCCCTCAACATTTTGTTAATACATTTTCTAAAAACTGCATTAAGACAAAGTTCTGTTTAATACTGTCAGAATGGAGAGATGCTCCTAGATCCACACTCCCTCTCTATCATTATATTCGTAATTAAATAGGAGGAGGAAAACGTCTGTGCAATTCATCCTTTCACACGTTCCTGCTATTCATCTAAAATTAGGGGAAAAGGCAACGTGAGATAATCCAGCTGTGAAGAAGAATTGTATTTATTTTTTTGCTACAATTGTCAATGCTTGTCAATGCCCGTATTGCTAATTGTATCCAATATACACCCGTTTCCTGCTATGGCCATTCAGGTAATGGGGTGGGAAAAAGTATTAAGGTTGAAAGAACCAAGGCATGACGGCAGCCTCAGTGACGAAGCATCTTCAGTGGTGACAAGTTGACTTTAAGAGCCAGTGTTGTGAAACAATCAGTTCAGGAAAAGGAAATAATTTCACACAATTGTGATTAATGTGTCAATGCTACCGAAGGTGCTTTCTGCACTTGTGCAATAGGGATTTTAATTCTGAAGAAATTTCCTTTTTATGATTGCAGTTTCCTTTAACCGGCTTAAAGAAGCAGTCAGGGCACCATAACTACAATACTACCAATTTTAGTGGTTTTGGTGTCATTGTGCTGCAAGAACATGTCTTTTTCCCCCTTTCCCCATTCAAAGTAATATATATTTTTAATGAAAACTATTTCAGAAAAACAAAGTCCATGAGGTACCTGAGCCCTAGCACCATGCTCACCTGTTGCTAATACAGGTGTTTCACTTTCATACTGGCGAATTAGATCTTTCTTAAATGCCTCTGATTTGGAGTGTTTTCCCCGATGGGCTAAAAGACCCAAACAGAAAATGACTGACTTTGATGTTGGATTACCGCCCATCCCACCCTCTCCCCCAATTATATTTGCCTCAGGTTTTGAATTTATTTTTAATTCCTAAATGTTCATATGATTATTGACTGAACACGAAACTTGACAAAACTAAATCCAAATGGCAAAGTTGAGGCTGAAATTATGAACTTAGAAAAATGACCCCACTATTGTCAGTTAGTTTGAATAATTTTAGTCTCAATTTTTCTGTTTAGATTAACTTTGCTAAAATTCAGTGTTTTGGGGGGTAGTCCTGTGTGACATCACTTACAGCTAACTTCCTGGGCAGCGAAAGTGTTTAACATTGTGTGAGACTTTTTATATAAATGTATGAAATAATAAACCTCACACAAGTCTAACTTAATTTCAGCTTTAACACAAATTACTTGCCTCAGGTAAGGTCTCAGAGGTTAGTCTCTCCCCTATGCAAAACATGCCAAGCCCCATATGATGTATATCTTTACAAATGGAGCAAAGCTAAGATTTTATAAGGTTTTATATTCTAAAACAAAGTTGTCAACACTCGACAAGGAAACTTTAGGCCCATTAAAAGAATGGGGCTGTATTTCCATCTCCACTATTAGAGGTAGCTCACCAGTCTGTTTGCGTTGCCTCTCCTGTTATAAGGCGTAGCTATTTAAAGGTTGTATATATTGCATTTGTGTTGTCGATACATCTCGCTGACAATGGTAGCACTTGTTAGCAGCGTGCTTACATAAAACATAGTAACTGAGGGAATTGGCAGATATTCATTATCCTGTGTAATCTGCATTGTTTGGCGTATTTGTCATGAGACTAATGTGACCAGAAATTGACAAGTGTTAATGTGTCACTTCATGTATCACCACTGACATAACCCGTTCTTAGTTTGAAGGTAGTCACTGCTTTGTTTAACCCCTTAAGGACACATGACATGTGTGACATGTCATGATTCCCCTTTATTCCAGAAGTTTGGTCCTTAAGGGGTTAAAGGAGTGGCTGCCTGCTTATAAAAGGTTCCTGGGAAGAGAACCTGTTCATATTTTCATGTTTTAATGAGACATTAGAGGCTGTGATTTAATAAAAAGCACTCGTAGAATAGAGAGGGGTAAACTTGCCCCCAGTATGTTTATGAAGTCATAGAGTGCGACAATAAATGCACCATTTTGTAGTATGGCCAGGTTTAGAAATTCTTCACTCTGTCAAGCAGGGATTGTTAGTACTGCCTAGCAGAATGTAAAATACCTGTGTTTCAGGTGTAAAACAAATTCATGGATTATAATGACTGTATTTCATAGCTGAATTGTGGCCATTATTAAAGACTTTCAGTTATTGCCAGGGCAGGTAGCACGTTGAAGCTCTGCCTGGCAGAATGTAGAATTCGTAGAAGGGAAGTAAATACTGCAGTCGTAGCCATAGCTGCTGTGTTTGTGCCTCGGGGTAGATTGAAATGTAAACCTGCTCCATCACATTCCCTGTTTTCTGTATTTGGTTTTGTCTCTTTGGAAAACAAGCAAAGCAATGAAAAATGAAACTTTCAGTAAAGCACCTTATCGTCCCCTCAGAGGTTTATCTACTGAAAACAGCCCCTGTGGCAAGCACCGAAATTGTGCCCCTGTCCAAACATCTGACATCCATCTTAGATAATGTTAGCCTAAAATCAGCTCCGAAAGACCAGCTGTATGTGATGGCTGTATATAATATGTATGGTGGTGATCTGTCTAGCCCCCTCCAACATGGCTTTATTTAAAGAAGGGGGGTTATGATCCCTGGTGGACCAATGGGAGGGGGGTCATTCCCACTGCTGTCCAGCAGGGGTTAACTCTGCCTAGTGGTTAAGTGGGGTCCTGAGTGTCTTATGGCCCAGCAGGGCAGCGTGAGGTTTGCAGCATATATTCAGAAAAATACTTCTTGCTCTGAGATATATTTACCTCAGTGTTTACATCCAGCTTGAAATGTATGATTGCCTCCAGTCCATTGCTCTGTAACCCTCCAATGTAATCTGCCGGATACCTCAAGTGTATTGTCCCTGTACCTCTCCTTGTGCACTCCATTTATATCACTGGCGCATGGAGGCTTCCGTAGTCATCGAAACAGAGTGCAAACTGGGAACATCGGGCAACTGCAACCTGACTCACACGATAGTGCTGGATTGGAAGTGCAAACCTCACGCTACCAGCTCTGATCCACCTCACCGAGGCAGCCATACCACTTGCCTGCGGCAGGGCTAAAAGAATTAAGAAAACTGCCGGAACTGGGCATTGGGCAATATGATTTAAAAAAACTTCCCAGTGGAGCCCGCTTCAAGTGGCACCCAGGGCATTTACCATACCTGCCATAATCTAGGTAATCCATTGCTTCCCAATCAGTGCTGATCTTTACTTAGTGGTGACTAGTATCTCTCTGGGGTCTAGTAAATCTGTAACACTCAAGGAGACTAAATTCTGTTCCCCCCACCTGAGCAGTGCAGGAGCCTGAATGACTCAAATATGTAAGGCTGCATTCTAGCAGAATAGTGCATGGTTATGAGGAGGGCTTCCATCAGAATTCATGGAGACTTGTGACAGATCAAATAGCTGCGGATACCTCATCATACGTTCCACAAACACACACACAGGTATGCATTACCACAGACTCAAATAATAATAGACTATCATGGCTATTAAAACTTCCCCTAGCCATTGGTGAGTGAAAATGTTGCCCTGGCAAGTAGAAATTCACCTATGAGAAGTTCATGGCATGCAGTGGTGAGTAACTTGCCAGGCTGGGCTACCAGCATATGACTACAAATTTTAAGCCCTGAAATTTAATTTATAAAATGTATATAATCACATATTTGCTTGTATAGCTGTCTTGTTTTACACGAGAAGGATGTGGGAATTGTTATAGACAACAAACTAGGCAACAATGTGCAATGTGAATGAGCAATGGCTAAGGCCAGTAAGGTATTGCCATGTATAAAAGGGGCATTCATTCTCGGGATGCAATTTTGGGCACCTGTTCTAAAGAAGGATATTATGGCACTAGAAAAAGTGCAGAGACAGGCTACAAAATTAATAAAAGGAAGCATTTTAGTTATAAAGAAAGGTTAACAAATTTAAACCTCTTTAGTTAAGAAAAATGGTGTCTCACATGGGATATGATAATATAAAAATATATTTGGGGCCAATACAAACCATAGTTTAGAAATCTATGTACAAGCAGGACTATACATGGGACACAAGGTCACGAGTTTAGACTGGAAGAAATTAGATTTAGTCTAAGGCAAATGAAAGATTTTTTTTTAAGGATGTGGAATTCTCTGCCTGAATAAGTGGATTTATCAGAGTCTGTACAAATATTTAAACAGCAACTGGATGTATACTTGCAAAAACATTATATTCCAAGATATAATTATTAAATTGTGGGGTAATTGCTTCTTGATTCAAAGATAAATCTAACTGCCATTCTGGGGCCAAAAATGAATTTGTTCCTAGTTTTGTAAGTGCTTTAACCCCTTAAGGACACACGACATGTGTGACATGTCATGATTACCTTTTATTCCAGAAGTTTGGTCCTTAAGGGGTTAAACAGGTTTTTTTTTTTGCATTCTTTTGTACCTACAGCAAAAAAACAGATGTGAAGAAGGCTGAGCTTAATGGACACATGTCTCTTTTCAGCCTATGTAACTATGTGCTATTTATTATATCTTATTTTAAAAGTTTCGGCAGGGGGGTGGCTTTCATAGGTTCGTGTACAAACTGAATTGTTTCAGTGTCTCAACTTCTTCTTTTACTTATTTTTCTCAAGTCGTTTTGAATGGGGAACTACTGACTGGCTTAGAATGTAAGCTGACACTCTTAGCCAATTTGCGACACCCCTGTCTGTGGCAGTCCAAGGCTTCCTATTTAAAGAATTTGAGAGCAGCGGAAGGACAAGGGCAGAGCTAAATGGTTCTGGACAGTAGACTTTGGGGTTAACTCATTCGTGAACAGTTTATCCCATAAAGGAAAGCCGTCACCAAGCTCCCTGGTACCATAACAACTTAATTTCAATTACGTTGTTATGGTACCTTGACGTTCTCTAAAACGCAACACTTTAAATAAAGATATTAGTTTTCTTAACTAATTTAGCTCCTACTACAAATGTATTTTTTGGGGTGATAGGAAAAGAGTAGGTTTGAAGTTTTGTTGCTGCAATGTCTTGAGATGACACTAGGGGGTGCAAAAGTATTAGATTAAACATGTTTTTCACTATGTATTTCTTGCAAAGATACACCCTTCTCCTCTAAATGTGTTAACCAAGGTCTATTGTTTGCACAGATCTGTCACAGGTCCCTTCTCAGTGTTAAAAGCCTTAGATTGCAGAACATCCTGGCATTTGATGAATGCAAGGAGAGCTTGACCACATATCACCAATATGTTTATAGACATTGTACAAGTAGAGTTATTTTATATTTAATGCACAGTGCATTTGTGTTTAAGTTAAAATGAGAATTATGGCTACTTTCAACCAAGACAGAAACAAATGGTGAGAATGTGCCCCCTATTCTTGTGCAGGTCGTGACCACCGAGAATCTGCAGATTGGAAAGATCCCACAATCTGTTAGCTGGGTATCTTGGATTTAAAAAAGTGATGCTAAATATAAGGCCAAAAAAACTAAAGAATAAACACTTGGCTGTGCGGTAGGTGTGTGCGATGTAATTTTTGCAAAGATCAGTTTGTATAACCTGTTCTTGAAAATGAACACATGTTCCTTTATTTTATTTTTAATCTCTTAACTGGTGCTTTTATTTAGGAAAGTTACATAAAATGTTGATTTCAGTCACAGAAACACATATCAGACAAAAACAAATTAAACGGAACAATAACTCTCTTCCTTTCCCCTCCAGAACTACTGATCAAGTGAGAGAAAATGCTTTGAGTAGATTGCTGTCCAGGGATACCTAAATATTATGTAAATTTACAAAATACATTATTTGTTTTGTTTTATTCCCCATTATTCCTCCCAATGAAGAGCTTTTGGAGGATTAAAACGTGTGTATAATATACATAAAATACAGTTTTGCGATGGCAACTTCACAGAAGTTGTAGATTGTCAAATGGAAATTCTATGAATATAAAATAGTTTAAGAAATAAAACTGCCCAGATGATGGGTATTTGAAAATAGTCTGCGGGTATTTTTGGAATGGCAGATACCTTCAATGCCAGTTATATCCAAACAGTATGATTGTATATATAGCAATTTCTATTAAATCTATCTGCCTGACTAAAACCACAGATCTGTATTACAAAGTATAGTAAACGCTGTAATTGCATCCTGAATTTGTATCTTGATGTGCTGAGAGTCAACTCTAACTGCTTATTCCTCGTGACTTCCATTCAGGTCTACTGTAGGAACTCTCTGGTTTAGTTTATTATACAATGTATCTTATTTACACAGACTGAAATCTGGACACATTACTGGGAGTATTATTGCTGTGGAGCTCGGTTATACACGCAGACACACCAACAATATGGAGCTCCTAGAAAAGAGGGACAGATGGATTTGGATCCAAACTAGGGACTGTCTCTCCAAAGTAGGGACACTTGGAAGGTACATAGGAGTCTGTTACACTTCACCCTTGAGAGCTGAAATGCTGTCAGTGTTTTATTATTTGTGACTTACATGTAACTGCACCAAGCCAGGTGTAAATCTGACAACTAGGGTACAGGGACACCCTGGAACTAGGCTTCACCACCCTTATTTAACAGGTTATATTGGTAAAGTGAGTTATTCCATGTTTGATAAATAAAGCTCACCTCAAACCTGAAACATTTTTCACTCATGTTCTATGAGCCTGTTTAGCAAGAAGAATTTAAAGCAGTTTTGTAGACATTCTGTTGAATTACCAATATTTTTCGTTTTCATGTTTTTTCGTTGCCTCGCCATCATGTTCCACAAAGAGATGGTTAAAAAGCATGGCCGTCACCCTTAGACACATGACATCGCTATTACCTCTGTCAGGCAGTGACAACCTGTGAGAACGTGAACTTTTAGTCCGGACGCTCGCACGGAGAGGGGGAGAAACTCTTGAAAATATAATTGCTGACAGGTTTAGGCAGCATAATTTGGGATTAGTGTAAATGGCTGCCGATTTCCTTAAGCGTTCATGTTATCCTGTCTGCAGGTCCTATGTTTTGCCTTTGTTGGATACGTTGAATTATTGTGGGTTTAGCAGTCACAGAGCTCATTTACTGTGGACACTTACAAACAGTCCTGTCAAAAGCAATCATTTGTTCCATAGTAATAATCACAGAAAGGTTTATTCACAAAATACTGAAATATATTAAACTGAAAAGTCCTGTCTAAAATAGCCAGAGGAAGACAATAGCGAAATCTGTTGCTGTTGCCTAAATATAGCAATTTCATTTTGAATTCACTACAGTTCGGTATTTATCCTCTAAAGCAGTGTTTCCCAACCTTTTCCCCTCATATTAGAGAAATGTTTGCAATTAAAGGAACATTATAGTCACCTAAATTACTTTAGCTAAATAAAGCAGTTTTAGTCTATAGATCATTCCCTTGCAATTTCACTGCTCAATTCACTGTCATTTAGGAGTTAAATCACTTTGTTTCTGTTTATGCAGCCCTAGCCACACCTCCACTGGCTATGATTGACAGAGCCTGCATGAAAACAAAAACTGGTTTCACTTTCAAACAGATGTAATTTACCTTAAATAATTGTATCTCAATCTCTAAATTGAACTTTAATCACATACAGGAGGCTCTTGCAGGGTCTAGCAAGCTATTAACATAGCAGGGGGATAAGAAAATCTTAATTAAACAGAACTTGCAATAAAGAAAGCCTAAATAGGGCTCTCTTTACAGGAAGTGTTTATGGAAGGCTGTGCAAGTCACATGCAGGAGGTGTGACTAGGGTTCATAAACAAAGGGATTTAACTCCTAAATGGCAGAGCAGTGAGGCTGCAGGGGCATGTTCTATACACCAAAACTGCTTCATTAAGCTAAAGTTGTTTTCTCACGGTGCAGATACACACACTGACACACATAGAGATAAATATACAGATACACACACACACACAGAAAGACACACAGACAGATACACATACTGATACACACACTGACACACATAGAGATACACACACTGACACACATACAGTTACACACTCTGGCGCATACAGATACACACGCATACCGATACACAGACATACAGATACATACACTGACACACACTGACACACATACAGATACAAACATGTTGGTGCTTTATAAATAATAGAAATAATAATAATAATTTAGTGAATAAAACCCCTGTAACGTTATCACAGAGATTGTTATATCAGTTTAGAGCATGGATGACTAAAAAGTAAGTCCCCAACTGTTTTAAAATTGCAAATTGCTTTGCCAGCCTTAAATGATCCTCTATCACTGGGTGAGTAAGGGTAAGAGATTCTAAACAACATATATATATATATATATGGAAAGCTGTAATTGTCTATCTGTGCTGTCATGGCTTAACTCATCAGTGACGAGCTCATGCTCTCAGCCACTCAGCAGGCTGAATGGCTGATGAGAGCTAATTGTAGCCCCTGCATAAAATTGTTCGGATCCCTATAGGAAGTAGTATGTGTGGGGGGAGGGGGAGGCAGGGCACTCATGTCATCAGAACCCCTACCTATTAGTTATGGTGCTCTGAGTCTTCCTAAAACTAAAGTCTCAACACAATATTCCAGCAGTGGTAAACAAGGTTTCAGTAAATCTATGCATTTACATCAGCTCACGTACCCACATTGAATTTTATGTGAAGGCCTCCTCCTAACACCGACGTGCAGAAACAATGAGACCAGTGCTTTATTCAAATTAAAATATGATTACAGTGTTCATTTTCTACAAGCCTGGGCGCCTCACGCAGATGGCGTCCAGGAGACAGGTCAGACACAGTGCGCCGTCAAAGTGGTAATTTCCTTAAAACTGTTTTAACCCTGTAAGTATAGATTGAAAATGAGTTATTAGACCTTAGGTATTTATTCTGATGTGGGTATATAGGCTGCCAGAGTAAATGCAGTGTTTACATTGCTGCCTAGGAACACCTCTACTAGCAGGCACTCAGATGGCCACTAGTGGTGCTACCTGAACGTTGAATGTCCTCATAGAGATACATTGATTTAATTAATCTCTATGAGGAGATGCTGTTTGGTGCAGTGCAGCGTTTTGCTGCGCATGTGCAATATCCTAACTTTCCTATGGAAAGTATTTGATTGTCTGAGATCACCTAAATATTTATTCCAGCACTCTAAGTTAATCAACCAAAAATATTTACTCAATGTTCCCATGTTACTTGGGGTAAAAGCTAATCTTTCCTCTCTGTTATTTGGCTTCTATCAGTGCTATGTAGATATGGAGGATTTTTTTTGTGTCAGTAAGTTGGTTCTAGTTGATTAAAGGAACACTATAGAATAAGAAATACAAATCTGTATTTCTAACACAATAGATATTAAATAACTTTGCTACACCTTCCCCCTCCCCCCAGCTGTCAGTTAGACATTAGGTCCTGTTACTTCCTGGTTTGGTAAGCTCAGTGGAGCTAACCTCTAGAGACAGCAATTGCCCAGAGCACCTGCCTTACAAAGGCTTCTCATTGAGCTGCATTGGGAAGCCTGTGATTGGACAGCAACAGAAAAACTGGGCGGGGTTAGAATGTGAGGGCTTGCAAAGGCTGCAGACAAGAGAACTGCAGGTTTTGTAAGTTGGTTTTATATATAACTCCAATTAAAAAATGCATAATTAACAGCATGCAAGTTTCTATTGGAGTAGATCAGTTCAATATGATTTATTTATTGATTTATTTTCATTGACG